CCCAAAATCTCACAAATCTGTGCCCTCCAATTCAGGTAGACTTCATATCAACACAATGTTTATTTTCACATATTCTTGGCACAACTCAGAGCTTCTCTTAACATCACGCCAAAGCCTCAGAGACTCGATTCTCTGGCTAGTGAAGAGAGGGACTCGGGTGGTGTGGTCCACTGTCCCTGCCAAATGTCACTTGAGCGCCTCCCTCCTGCAGGTGCTAAACCTGAGTATTAATTGAACCCAGCCAGGAGGGAAGGAGGAGTTGTCAGGGCACTGGAAGCGCCTGGCTGCCTGCCACCTCCCCTACACTGTGACATTTCAGGAACAGGTCTGCGGGGATATTGCCACAGTGACAGCGTCACATCAGCTGAATCTTCCCATAAAAAGCCAGAGCTTCTGCCAGCGATGGGCTTCTCAAAGCTTTCCGGGCTTCGAAGTGGAAAGAAACAAAAGCCAGAAAAGCTTCAAACCAAATAAAAACCATGTCTCTCGGGGCTCCCCAAATGAACTCATCCTTCTTTAGCTCCGGGGGCAATGAATAGGCATTAATTGTGCAACTGCACTTTATTAAACAAAGTCTATCTTTCAGCTCTCCATTTCTTCCAGAAGAAGCAGGAGGTGAGAAAGGCATGTAGAAGACCCCACTGGCACGTGACCATGAAACCGCTGACAGCCAACGTCAGCCTGCGCCCCAAGCCAGACGGCAAATACACAGCTCCAGGATGAAAGTGACCGAGAGCACCCACACACCAGGACGCAGGTCCAAACGACCGTGATCTCTGCCAGCTTATCACTGACGATGGGCGTCCTTCTTCAGCCTCCAGGGCTAACTGTGACAAGATCACGAGGAATGGTCTCAGGGCTCAGGTGGTGGAAATGCGGCTTCTCTTTCTTAGCTCTGCAGACGCTTATCGAGAACGAGACCCCCCACTGGCAGCGTAGTGACCCTTATTAGAAAACCTGAGGGTCGGGAAGTCAGAGGACCCAGATGTGACTCCTGAGTCCACCACCCACTGAGCTTGTGGACACTGGTGTGTCCACACCAATGGCCACATGCCCCTTTAAGATGGGGATAATGACATTACCTACTCTATGGGTCACTGAGAGGCTTAAACAAGAGAGTGTGTGCAAAACGCTGCGCACAGTGATTCCATGCAGCAAGGGTTCCATCAGTACTAGCGACGGTTTCAATGGCCGACACACCTGCTGGTGTAGAGTCTCTCAACCAGGTAACTGCCTGTCCGGCGCCGCTACAAAGGACTGAGGCACACAACACATCTAGCAGAACCGGTGGGCTCCTACCCACTACATGCCAGTTGGCCCTCCCCACTCAGAATGTTCCCAGACACTGTCAAATGTCTCCTGGAGACAAAATCACCCCGGTTGCGAACCTCTATTCTGTGTCTCAGCACTTTTATGAGTGGTATTGCTCATAAGTCAAGCAGCCACTTCACCTATTGGCTTCAAGGCATTGTTAAGTATTATCTTGGATATATTTTTCATTGTTTTTTTTTAAGATTTATTTACTTATGCATACAGAACTGGGGTACAGGACAGAGGTGCAGGGGTGGTGAGAAGATTCGCCAGAGACAGAGTGGGGAGCAGAACAGGCCGACTGATGAAGCACACTGCTGAGGGGAGCAGCGGGGAGACAGGAGAGGTCTGCCATGCCATGTGGATCACCACCAGGGTGGGGATCGAACTCGTGCTGAAGTGGCTTTAGCTTCTTAGTGCTGTGTTTTAACCCGCTGCACCACCAAGGAGAGCCCCTCATTTTTTTTTAATCACATTTATTCTCCCTTCTGATGGCACCACTACCCTCTTCCTGCTTTGGAGAACTGCCCCCCATTTTATGTGTACCCCAATATATATGCTAAAATACTTCACACATGCTTGATGCACAGGCAATGTGAAGGTCAACACATAGTAGGAATTTCTTTTCGGCTTGCCAATGATAGCAGACCTGAAAGCTTCTGAAAGCCACCATGTGGACCCAGAGTAAAACCATCTCAGAGGAGACAGGATAGTGTGACAAAACCTAGGACCACCATTTGGATTCTGGATCAAGCCAAGCCTGAAGCCTTCCCTCGTCCCTACACTCTAGAATTTCCTAAGTCAATGAATTTCCTTTCTGCTTGTGTCAGCTTAGGGTGATACAACTGCCTACTACGTGCTAGGCCAGTGTGGCAAACCATGATGGGGGCAGGGCTGTAAGTGCATCCTTGCTAGTTTTCATGGCAATCACTTTTTTTAAAGATTTATTTATTTATGCATACAAGAATTGGGGTACAGGCCAGAGGTGTGATGGGCGAGAGGACTCACCAGAGACAGAGTGGGGAACAGAACAGGCAGACTGATGGAAATACATTGCTGAGGGGAGCAGCAGGTGGGTCAGGAAGGGTCTGCTGCACATTATGGGTCACCTCCCTACCGGGTCACCTCCCTGGCAGGGATCGAACTCTGTGCTTCAGTGGCTGAAATCACTTCATAGTGATTCACGAGCCTTTACCCCTTGTGCCACCAGGGAGGGCCCTTCATGGCAATCTTGTGAGGTAAGTAATATACAGTATCCACTCAGGTGTGTACAAGAGCCTCGTATTTTCCCCCCAACTTCCCATCCAGAGCCCTGGGTCAGTCATGGTGGGATGAGGTGGGGCAGGAAGACTACTCAATCCCAACCCTAAGAAGGTGAGCAGAACTTTGCTCAAAGTTCCTGTGAAGATCCCCTGTTCTTCAAGGGGACGCCAGAAATGTGTGCAGTTGTCATCAGCCTATGTGCTGACCGCTTGCCTAGAGAGACTGGACTCCTGTTCATTTATTGATGTGAGACAGGGAGAAAATTATATTTGTTAATATGAAACTGCCTTGTTTTGAACACATCCAAAAAATAGCCAAGGAAAAAAATTATCTTTATCTTGCTAATAAAGCAAGGCAGATATGAAACCTTCACGCTCGGAGAAACACAAATGATCTTATTATCTTGAGCATCTTGATGGTAACGATAAAAATTCATCTTTATTTGAGTTTCAGGCAAAATATAAAATAGCAACACTACCTTGCACTTAACACTGTCTGGATGCCAGAAACCTAAGTCCTGCTCCAGAAGTAATCACAATAAAATGTCAACAGAACGATTTAGGAGTAAGCCAGCGCCTCTGAGGTCATCCTGCATTGCTGCCTTGAACTGTAACAGCCCTACAAGGAAGTGATTACTTGGATAAACTTAGCATGCAGGGGAACACTGTATCCAAGGTCAACATCTAATAAAGCAGAGAGATTAGACCCGGGGCCTCTCTGACTCCCAAGCCTGTGGCCCTAGCTAGCCCCCCGCTGCCTGAGGAAGGCCCACGCTCCCAGGAACACACGCTGCTTTCCCTACCGATCATACATTGTCGGCTTTCTACCAGCCTGCAAGGGCACGCCCCTGAACAAGCCTGCTATCCAAAATCAATAAATATCCCGGCTCCCTGCAATACCTGAGTATTCTGTGAGCAGGTGGGTTGCAGTCACTGACACTATCCATGAGGGTTTGTGAATAAAACACCCAGAAGGTCAGACTGCAGAGAGACCACAGTCACTGACTGAAATCCCTTTCATCTCCCACATCTCCATTCGATGGCTTTTGGTCAAAGGTCTCTGGAACTATCCATGATTTTTAGCCACCGTTTATTTCACCTGTGTTACTTCAGTATGAGCCCATCCCCACTGCTGCCTTCATTCTCCCACAGCCAACCGAATACCGGCATGATCACATCACACACGCCAAAATCCATCTGCTTCAAGACCTCTCTTTCCTACATCAGTTGGCAGAAATAACAAAGCCTTAAAATCATCATCTAACTCCTCAGCAGTTCTACTAGGTTTTTGTAAGAACAGGTTAAACTTTTGCAAGATATAAGTAGTATAAACCTTGGAGATTGAGATGATTTCTTTAAAAGTTTCAAATAGTCACAAAATATTATAGAAGTTTACTACAGTTTTGGCCTCCAGAAACTACCATGCAAAGCCATAATCGTTTCCTGCTGTTATTTCCCATAAGTAGTAAATCAAAGAATCATCCAAAGATATTAATGTTTGAATA